GTTAAGAAACTCCAAATGCACCCTGGCCGTTCGGTTTCACTAATCCACTCCAAAAGCTTTTTGGTCACGTGATAAAAACGCCACTCCAACTCTACTCCAGCACCGCTGGGCTATCCCGAACCCAGCTTAAATACAAACATTGCACCTGGATTTGTGTTTAGGTATGAAATAGTATATTACATACCGAGTAGTAAGTCTCGAGATTATTAGTCAATCTCGACGCTTCGCGTCTCGATTGACTATATAAATCTCTCGACAGTAATGAAATACTTCCCTCCGAGGTTTGTATTCTATTTGCAAGCACACCATTAATTATGATTAGTCAATCAATTTTTTTAATATTAAAAAAATAAAACAAACATGCCAAAATGTGTCATTCGCTGCTTTGACGTTTTTACCTGACATGTTTTCATTGTTGCCAGCAAAGGTAAATAAATTAGAGTGAGGGAAATCGGTGAGAGAAGTCGAATAGGGAAATCGGTGAGGGAAATCGAAGAGGGAAGTGACACAGGTAAAGTGCCACTTCCAAATTTTTAAAAAGTCAGTAATGACAAGATTACAAATAAAAACAATTTATCAGGGCCGAAAGTGAGTTCTCCAGGCCGAAAGTGACAGGAGAACAGTCACTTTCGGCAAGTGACAGAAGAACAGTCACTTTCGGCCTGCTTTAAAGTTAACAAAAGTAAAGTGACATTTTCGAACCTTCAAACCAGCAAGGAATGTGAAAATTACCTATATGGTTCAAAATAAAAGTTGTTACTGGTGTGTATAAAGAGTTTTCGTGAACCCGGAATCCGTGACAATATTAATTTCTCTGTTTTCGTTTCAATGGTTTCTGAGGGTACAACAAATATATTGGATTGTATTTTGTGCTTTAATACCTACATATTTCTCTTAGACTGTGAGATAGGGTAATTTTTTTTTGTCTGGCATTTTGAGGGCTGAATGTGGCTACTAAGCTGATGAGAATATGGGTGATTTCAATGCCTGCCGCCCGTTCGAAAATTTGCAGAAGAAAAAAATAAAAGGTTTTGTTGTGAAAATACCGCTGAAAAATCGCCAGACGGTAATCACAGTTCGAAATCGAGTTTTCCGTCGAAACATTTTGTGGACATTTCGAACAGGGGGCAGGCATTAAAACCACCAATATTCTCATCAGCTAACTAGCCACATTCATCTCTCAAAATGCCAGACAAAAAAAAAATGAGTCCACTAAACAGGCCCTATCTCAGGGTCTATCTGTAATACATTCTCAAAAATAGTATATTGAAATTCAAGTTGCAGAAGGCCACATTTCCGCACGAATTCGAAATTTGGCCACGAGCGACGAAGGAGCGAGTGGACGAACGAATGAGTGCTAGGAGATTTTTTTGTGCAAAATATTTCAGTTGGTAACACTTACCTACCAACTGACAGGTGGATTCTATTATTTTAGAAGGTTTGATAATTTTGAAGGTACAAACAGGTATACTTTGAAAACTAAATGTCACTAAAAATCGTTGGAGAATGAGCTTCATTCTTTAACGATTTTGCGTGCGAGAATAATGTCATTCTCACACCAAAGAAGTGGACAGGTACACTTATTGTTGCTTGACAATTAGTTTTACTTCTTGACACTGCGGATAAGGCCCTTATACGCACGGAGTTCCAAAAGTGTAACTTTGAGCACCGAAATGCGCGCGGAAAAGTACTACTTTGTGCACGCTCGTAGAAAAAAATAAATTTTTGGCCTTTTTATCAAGCAAAATATTACAAATATTTCCCTCATGTATGAAAAAAATCACATAAGAGGAATGCGATTATCGAAAACTTACAGCGATAATTGCCCGACAGGTACCGAGTACCGATAAGAACCCGGCAGGTACCGATAATTTTGCCGGCAGGTCTAATTTCGGAAAATATTCCACTAAATAGCATTCGTGCTGAAAATCAACTCATGCAGTTTTTAGGAAACACGCTTTCCTCCAAAATGTTCAGTAATTTTGATGCACTTGTGCTATTACCCCCGATAATTGCACAGTAACTGGTGTTTTGGAAATATTTGTGGGAAATATTCCACTAAATAACATTCGTGCATCAAAATTACTAGATAATTTTTAGTTCAAGCGTGCTTCTTTGAAAACTGCATTCGTTAATTTTCGTATTTTTCAAAAGAACCCTCAAATTGGTAACTGATATTATTGAAATCCCAAAATTCCCAAAAAAATCCTAAAATCTATCTTGGGAAAAATCCACTATCTGCGAAAAAACTGGCCCCATATTGGAGTACATATTCGAATTTTACGCATAGCTAGTGAACCGAGCGTCCGATTTCATTTGTTTTGGTCAAATTTACGGGAAAATGAGCTTCTTTTTTTGTCTTTTGTTTTTGATCTTTGCTTGCTCATGTGTCTCTTTATCTATATTGTATGTTCTCTGTTTCATTTACTTCTTTAGACAGAGTTATAATTTTTTTTTCGTACTAAATTAGCACTAAATAGGCCCGAATTTAGTACTCTAGTTTTTCTGATGTGTGCCATTTTCGTTGTGCTAATTTTTGAGACCTCTTCCTTTCCATTTTGTGTCTATAGTCCTGGTTAACTGTTGGAGCGCTTTAACCGGTCGCATTTATTCATTCCGTACATATATATGGCACCTAGCACAATCCCATTGGTCAGATTTAAAATTCAAACTAATTGAACTTCGAGTGCCATACGCGTGTACGGAATGTAAATCAGTGCCATATGCACTTACGGATTGTAATATATGCGTTATGCGCACGCAAAATCACGTCTCAAGCATCCAAATATCCTGTTTTATTTTTGTGATTATTGTGATTGTCGGACTTACATAGGTAGGTTAATACTTCTATGGAGTTTGACGTTGCGTCCTCTCTTTCGATTTTTTTAGAAATATTTTGAACAAGAAATTGTCAGTTATTGCGTCGCCGACATTATTTTATTAATCAGATCTCTTGTGTTTATTTGGGTGCTTGAAATCACCATGCATGCTGCGACAACGTTATGCTACCTTTGAATTATAAATATTTGGAACAGAGTTCTGGAAAATATAGAGCAAACCTAATGACTGAAAATGACGCTAGACGATGGGTGGAAATATTTGTCTTTGATTATATTATTCAATGAACATATTGACGCTTTTCACAGCGTCTGATATCTAAAGTTCGCCTTACGAGTCTAGCACTATGGAAAGAATGCGGATAAACAAATTGCAATATTGCCTATTTGACTTCCAATAGAAAGTACCTTAATATTTAGCTTATAAGTAAAAAGTAATATTTAAAAACGCTGCGCGCACGCCTATGACAGGCAGCATAAAGCTCGAAATGAATGGCGTTATTCCCCCTTGCCCTTCAGACGTCGTAGTGCTAGACTCGTAAGGCGAACTATACTCTATGTATATTTTCTTTGCTCACCAAAACTTAGATTAATACACCGCATGTTTGTAATGTGTTTATAATACCTGCCTAATTATTACATTCTAAATTTCGTTAAGAAATTGGAAAATCAATACGCCATACTAGCACTTAATTTGGGATACAGTATTTACTGCAGTTTGAAATAGATACAGTTGAAGAATAATTGAAGATTATTAACTCGTTTTCAGCTTAACAAAACTTTCTGCTGTAATAACTAGGTATGACATTCCGTAAGTACATATGGTACTGATTTACATTCCGTACACGCGTATGGCACTCGAAGTTCAATTGGTTTAAATTTTAAATCTGACCAATGGGATTGTGCTAGGTGCCATATACATGTACGGAATGAATAAATGCTGTTCCCGTCCCTTCTCTGAAGCCGTACTGTCTTTGATTTATATTGCCCGTTCTCTCCAGGTGAAGTTCTTGTCTTTTGTTGAGCATTTTGTCTAGTATCTTTTCCAACATTGGACTTATGTCATGTCTGTATTTCACGCTTTTGTGTTTTCATTCACAGCATTTAAATAGATATTATTCTTTCTCGAGCACCAAAATTGTTCTATTTTTATTAATTTTAGAATTTTGGTAGCCTGAATGAAGCAATTTATAGCAAAAACGAATATAATCTAATGATCGGTTCAGTCACTATGCTTAAAACTCGACAAATCCAAGATTGCGGTGTTTTTTCAAAATGACCTATTTCCCTAAGATGGATTTTTTGGGAATTTTGGGATATCGCTTCTGTCGTGTTGATGATTGATGAATATTATTGATCCAAGACCAATTGATACGTGTTCTTCTGTCTCTTTTTCTTATTTTAAGTTACTTTAGATAGTTTTGACTATTCCGATAAGTACAATCAATCTTTGAAATGAAATTGTCTTGATGGAAATAAAGTTTTTGATCTTGGTTTGACATTAAATCACTTAATACAAAATCCAGGATACGCCTATGTGTATAGAAACGCTTTTTTAAACGGTTTTTTTAGGCAATCTTGTAAGTGTGCTCTCTGTAATGGTACAGAACTTGTTGATGAATAAAGTAAACTTTTAAATGGTTTGGTTACGTTAAATACACTCAGATGGTAATAAAACATGTTATCAAGCTGCATCTTTTTTTCATTGGCATAAGCGGTGAAATAAAGGAAGGTTTTTTGATATGTTTTTAATATGTAAAAACAAGAAATAAGTACCTATGTAATATATTTTTGAGAAATTCAACATTTCATATTAGGGATTTGGCCAATGTATGTATTATGTATGTATAGTTATTAATTGATTATTGAGAAGTGAATTATTAAAAAATGTGATATCGTACTACTTAGATTTAGATATCTTTTGGATGATTTCAGTATCAGCATTAGCTGACAGAATTAACATTTAATTAAAGTATAAAGTCAATTAAAAAGGATGAAAAAAATGGACTATAATCCCTTTATATTCCTGAAAAAAACAAGTATTGCTTTCAATATTACACCAATTTAGCCATAATTAATAGAGGCTTAAGGATATCATATCTCGAAAAAGATTCGCGGCGGTGATGAACATGTGTAACAGATTAATTTGTCTCTTCGTTTCAGGTAATTGGGGATACCATCGGCAGGGATCTTGCCAGGCTGGTTTTAGTGCCGCCATCAATTCAGTAAGTAAATTAAAATTTAATATTCAAAAGTTACAGGATTTATTATACATGAATACCGAGAATGATAAAGCTGATGATTCTTTGCTTGCGTTTTCCCACTAGTTAACGGCACATCATTTGGGTTTAAAAGTTAAAGGTTATACCGTTAAAGGTACTTAGGAATAAATACTCCATACATCCACGATAATTATATTTATTTTAATTAACTGTAGTCAATCTAAAAAAAAAAAGTTAAATGGTGAAGATAACGAACTTCTAAACCTTAACGATAATAATCACACCCATCCGCATGCATGACTAGAGTAATGAGCAAAAGCTCTATGGCAATGTGGCGAGCCCATAAGTTGCACATTTTGATGGATGGCCGTTTGTCGGCGCGTGTTAACAGCTGGTTAACAGCAGCAGGCCCATCAGGGTCCGCCCGCCCGCGGCTCCTTCTGCCCATTTAGTGCCCTGTTATTTGGGAAGAACCGCACACTCGGTTTAGTCTTTGCTCTTGCTTTTAATATCCATTTGTGCACTTTTTTTTATCTTTTTTCGATTAATTTATCGACCAGATCTCGCTTGACAAATTGTCCGCCGATCTGGGCCCTGTTAATGACTTATGCCTCTCCCTGTTCGGTAAATTACCTGCCGCCGTACGATTGATGTAATTAATCTGCGGCCATTCATAATTAAATATGGTCGAAGAGTTTTTATTTCTCTTCTCTTCTCACTTGATTAATGACATCCGTAAGAAAACAAACATGTGTATGTGAGAGAGTTTTATGTAATTTATGTAACCTTAATACATCATACTATATTTATTAAAATATTGAAAACGGTGGTGTCAATGAGGTTATATGGGTCAAAATCAAGGAAAACTCTTTCACAATTATCGTTTTGAAGGTTAAGCCAAAGGTATTTTAGTGATTTTGTTGCATATACTTAATACTGGAATTAATTCAATATTCCATTTCAACAAACATTCAGATTTGTTGATTTTAATTTTTAGCGGGAAAGTTTTTTTTGATATTTCCATTCCTTAAATGACATGTCGACCTCCAACAGCACGTGACGAGAAAGAATTAGGTACTACTCTGTGGTACTACTACAGTGAGTCTTGTCATAATACTATACGTAAACTTTGACTACTGACAAATAATTTACAGTAATGTTACATTGAGAGTTAGTTAACACCAATTAATACATTAGCTTTTTTTTGTATAACTAATGTCTAGATTTCCGTAGGACCACCAAAACTCCCTCTATACTAGCAATAATCTAATTATTACCTCTACACTTATCATCACTTACCTATCGCTTTTATTTAACTTTTTACAACCTTTGTCTTATTTAAACTGACTACAACTTACAAACTACGCGCTTAATATTAAAAATCACTCACCCGAGATATCTTTCTAGTAGGTGCCTATTCTGTTAAATAATTGTTTATTTAAATCACACGATGGGTACAAATTCCTGATTATCTACCTACTGGCGCGCCGTTCGCGGACAAAGGCGTCGGCGTTTCTGCACAATGTAATTTGTAATTTCGTAATCAAAGTGTAAATTATACCCATTTGCTGTGACGTCATTTTTGTTTGGTACATTTCAAATAGCGGTGACAACAAATGCAATAGTACGCAACGGAAAGACGAAACATGGATCTTCACCAAGGAATTATTCCGTAATCGCTGGCAAGATGGCACCAAGCACATTCGATGTATTCGGGTGATCCGTACATTGTTGTCCAGGCTTTTCAGTAGGTATGTAGGCTGCAGTGTTATTGATCATTTCAGACCATAGGCTTTGAGGTACCACTCAACCAAATAGTATCATAAATAAAAAGAAGTTGTTCTGTGATTTAATGAACAATTCATCAAAATCAGTCCAAAGAATTGCTCCTTTGATCTCATGAACTCTACGTTAATGAAGGAAGAACAATTTCTTAATTCCTATTTCGATTCATCTTGTGTATGAACAACGAACATTGAAGTATGTAGCAAGGTTTTTGTATTAATGAAACTTTTCATAGTGACAATAAACATCGTTCTTAGTTTATATGTACTTTTCCATTGGCCTGATGAACAGACGACATAATATTAATGAAGCCCAAATATAATTCGATGACACCCTTTCATTGTATTTATGAATCAAAGTCTTGAATACTAAGAATTTCATTCATTGTATTTATTAATGACGTTTTCAATAATATGTACCTTATTCTTTATTTTCATTAAAATAATTTCATGAATTATGCCTTAAATATACTTATGATTTTAAATGAGGTACAGAGTCATTTTTTATATTTGCATGACTCCTGTAGGTACTGATGAATATGAGCAATAGGAAAAAAGCTTTTGATGCAAAAGTTGCATGGTTTCTTCGTATCATATTCTAGAATTGTCAAACAAACCAATGAGCATACCAAAATCTGAAAATTCAAAAATCTAAGTAGGTACTTATGTAGTTTTATTTTAAATGACACTTAACTGTATATTGTACTATCTTTGAAATCCTCCTTAAATCCTGTTTCCATAAATATATAATATGTCTATGTTTGTTCCAGCTGTTTTTGAACTATCAACATCCAAAGTTTCTAAAACAAGCCACGTCAGAAAATTAGATTTGATGCCTTGGCTGGTTTCCTTGCCTTGGCTATGAAACACCTAGTGAAACAAAACCATTTAACAAAAATATATCGATTAAAAAAAATTACAACTTAATTTGAGATTGGGTATACTTACTTTCAGAGATTTCAGTATTCCTTAGAAATTCTGAGGAACTCTTGACGCTCTTGTCTTTCACGTTCTCCCCGGATGACATTAATATCTGTAGGTCATTTCTTTCGCATTCCCATTCTGAGACTAGACCGTCTCCGTGCAAGGCATCAAAGTCCTATCAACATAATAGATATACATATTATAGAGGTAATAGAGGTATACAACTTACCTTTAAGAAAAAACCGGCGACCGGTATAACCGACTTTCTATTTAACACCTCGGTCCTCGAACAACACAAGACCGAAAAAAACGACTAGAACGAAGTACGTAGCAATGCAGCCAGAAAATAGAAATATACCTAATTATTCTTATTTTAACATATTTTTCTATTTTCAAAGAAAAACACCCAGTCTTCCTCCACAAGTATGTCTTTATTAGAATCAAAAAGCCCTAAAAGTTTCGAAACTAGAAAGTTTCATCTTCAGGAGCAAAAAAATAAGGTGCTGCAATTTGGAGTGTTTCAACAGGAAATACATACTTCCGGACCAGATAGAGGAAAATTGACTTAGACGTCATGGGATCGATTTTCGAGAAACTTCGATTGTCAAAAACCGTATCACGATATCTTCAATGGTACCATTGATACAGGACGATTTTCGATTTTCCCCTATTATGAAAAATAGCTATAAGTTTTTTATTTATTAATATTTTTTATTTCTGTAAAAACATTATGGAGATACTTTTTTGAGCACAATCCAGTGGCGGACTCAGTTTTTTTCTATATCACTCCGATTTCGAGATATCGACCAAAGTCCGATATTTTCAAATGAAACACCCTATATATTAATAGCTCATTGGATAGCTCTGTTTTTGCTGATTTCAATGATATAAAGTTCGATAGGTTTATCTCTAACAGTTTGCAAGAAAAAAAATCATATCTGTTTTTGTCGTAAGGACCAATGTGTTAGAAAAGGATTTTATATGTGGAAGGAAAATGAGGAAGGTCTTTTTCTAACACATTGTTTCTTATGACTGAAATAGATATAAATTTTTCTCGAAAACTGTTGGAGATAAACCTATCGATCTTTATATCATTGAAATCAGCAAAAGCAGAGCTATCCAATAAGCTATTAATACAGGGTGGGGACTTTAACTGGAACTAATTCGCAAAAACACGTCGATTAAGATTTTTTTCCTAGGATTTTTTCACATCATTTTTTTTATACAGGGTGTTCCGAGAACAACTGTACGGTTATCAACTTTATTTTTTCAAATAGTAACCCCTATATATTATGACATTTTTGGATTCTGCGGAAAATTCTAGACATATTTTATGTACAATGTCCTATACTTATCTTCAACTGTTTCGGAAATATTGACAGTTGAAAATTGACTTTTTTGCATCTTTGACAAACTGTAAAACCTAAATGGTTGATTTTACAGCAAAACCGATCATACATTTTGATCTTAGTTTTCCGTAAGCTATCATTTGACACAAACTTTGAATTTAATCTATGATTAAAAATTCCGCCAGCCAATCAAAGTTGCTAAAAAGTCAATTTTCAACTGTAAATATTTCCGAAACAGTTGAAGATAGGTATAAGACATTATACATGAAATATTTCTAGAATTTTCCGCAGAATCCAAAAATTTTATAATATACAGGGGCTGCCATTTAAAAAAATGAAGTTGATAACTGTACAGCTGTTCTTGGAACACCCTGTATACCAAAATTAATGTGAAAAAATCTTAAGCAAAAAATCTTAATCGACGTGTTTTTTCGTTTTGTCCACATATTTTATCCGAAGGCTCTGGCGAATTAGTTCCAGTTAAAGTCCCCACCCTGTATATAGGGTGTCCTATTTAAAAAAATCGGAATTTGATCAATATCTCAAAATGGGAGCGAGATAGAAAAAAACTGAGTACGCCACTGGATTGTGCTCAAAAAAGTAACCCAAAGATGTTTTCACAGAAATGAAAAAAAATCATAAACAAGAAACTTATAGCCACTTTTCATAATAGGGAATAATCGAAAATCGCCCTGTATTAATGGTACCATTGAAGATATTGCGATACGGTTTTTGACAATCGACGTTTCTCGAAAATCAATCCCATGACATCTAAGTTAATTTTCCTCTATCTGGCCTGGAAGTATGTTTTTCTTGTTGAAACACTCCAAATTGCAGCACCCTGTACACTTTAGAAAAAAATTGAAAAATTAATAAAAATTTGTAAAAAACTTGTAAAAAACAACGGCCAGATATTGAAGTTTAGAGGAGTGTAAAATCAAAAACTTAGGTACCATTGTGTGGAGAAATTTATTCAAAAAGTTGAAAAGTAATTAAAAAGATTTTTGAATAAATAAATTAAACATAAAACAAGAATTGTAAAAATTGTAAAAAAATTGTAAAAAACATCACTTCTTTCTCTCTAAAAATTGTCAAGTCATGTTCTTAAGTACTAATGCAAGTTAAAAGAGATTAAAATTCTCATGGGCCCAACCCGATACTATGATTAGTTTCCGAAATACAGGTGGTTTAATGTTCAAGAAATGTACACATTTTATATGCATTCACATCTACTGTCACCTATTATTAGGTCTGTCAGAGTGAATTTAATTGGTTGTAACTAGTTTTCTGACTGTTTCTGACTGTTTTCGATCAAGCAAATTCGCTCTGGCAAGTTTGTGATTTTTGCAGAAACAGACCTACCTATTATTAGGTGACAGGTAGATGTGAATACATATTAAATGTATACATTTCTTGGACATAAAAGTACCTGTATCTCAAAAACTAATCATAGGATTGGTTCGGGCCCATGAGAACTTTTTATCAGTAAGTCAAGATATACCACACATCAAAATTTCATTGAGTTTGACAGAAAACCAAAAACCCATAAGAGGTGTGCGGGGTCCTTTGAAAACCTTAAGTAGCGACATCCAGCGGTTTTTACAAAATTAATAATAGCAATAACAAAAGAAGGGATCTGTAAACAAGGAGCAGATAACTACACCGAACAAAGTACCAAAAGGAATACAATATACCTTAACCTAGAAACGATATGATAATAGTACATTAAAATACAAGTTTCATAAGACGTCATTTTATCGCACGAGCCCTATATTAGAAAACGTGCCGGAGGCGAGTTTTCTAAAGGGCGAGTGCGATAAAATGTCTTAGTACTTCTTCTATTACCAACCTCCGATAAGTAAAAAAGGAGTGTCACAAAGAGCTTCTTTTCGAAACTACTTTTAGTGTCGAAAAGACTTCGATATGACACCAAAATAGAAAAAATAATATGAATATAATAAAATTTCACCCTAAAAATTCAATGAATTGAAGAAAGAAGTGGAGTTGTGGTGAATTTGATCATTGAGGCATAAGACATCACTATTTTTAAAGGCATAATTGATTTCATCAATTGATATTTTTCTATGCCGTTGCCCGACTGCAGCTACCTTTGCGCATGTGCTTAGGAACTGTGTACATTAATGCCATTAACTGTTTCATTGTATTTATGATTTATCTTGATCTAATGGTTACAGTTTTCTTTCTAGGAATATTTGCTTGTTTTAAATGAATCGTACATTGTATCAATCAATTTCGTTCTTAAAAGGATAATTTTCTAGTAAGGCTTTATGAACCATATTCATTATTATTCATATTTATATTATGAATTTTCCGTGGAAGCTCCATCAAAGAAATTTTCTTTAATATCAAGGTTTAATCTAATAATATCAATGAACTTAGTTCGTGTAACCGATGCACTATTCAACATAGATTCATGTAGATGACTATTCATAACTTACTGAAGCTTCATTCTTTATTCTAATGATAGCTGTTCATGAAATCATAATACTTATACAGTTTTCTGTACTTAGGATTAATAAAAATTTTACTGAATCAGTGAAAATGTAATTGATGAAAGCAGTTCATTGATATTATGATGAAGATTTTTTTGAGTGTACCCCTTCTCGGCTTGCTTATGAGATATATCAATACTTCTTCTCTATGCAGGAAATTTGGATCACTTTCTTCCTTATCCTTCCCTGATTCAACAGCTTCTTTAAAACTATTGATGGTGTTGAGATTGGCTTGCAACTTTGCATCCTAAATCTCTTAGTAACTTCTTAGCATAGGATTTCTGATTTTTTTTTAATAAAATCAAGGAGATGTATTTTTTTATAGGTACTAGTCACTACTCACGTTAAGGCGTGTACAGGGTGCTGCAATTTGGACTGTTTTAACAGGAAAAACATACTTCTAGCCCAGATAGAGAAAAATTGACTAAAATGTCATGGGACCGATTTCCGAGAAACGTCGATTGTCAAAAACCGTATCGCGATATCTTCAATGGTACCATTGATACAGGGCGATTTTCGATTTTCACCTATTATAAAAAATAGCTGTAACTTTTTTATTTATCATTTTTTTTTATTTCTGTAAAAACATTATGAAGACACTTTTTTGAGCACAATCCAGTGGTGTACTCAGTTTTTTTCTATGAGTCATCATTTTGGAGAAAAAAAATGAAGTTCTGTTTTTTTATACGGAAACTATAGTTGGCTATGACCTCAAAAAAACGGAAATTTTTTGTGCTTTCCAATGATATATAGTTTTCAGTATTTATTTCCAAATTTGACGGTGATACAGAGGTTTTTTTCATATTTAAGCAGCATAGGCTATGAGAAATAAAAAATAAATGTTCATACGTCATCGTTGTTTTGGCAACCGCTCAACAAAAACCTTGTCAATAAAACTTTTGACATTTTCTTTTGCTTATGCTAATATTTGTGTATTGTGGTGAAAAATGTATGAAAATTTTGAAAAATTTGACATGTTAAAATGTTATATCTTGGCTAATGAAAATACCAACGCTGCTAGCGAATTGTATTTTAACAGATATCCAGAACGTCATCAGCCCGACTCTCGAATATTCAGAAACTTAAAGAATAATTTGATTCAGCATGGTAGTTTTAAACAACCTAGACCCAGAAATTACAACATTGAACAAAATGAAATTCAAGAGCTAAATGTGCTAGGAGAGGTAAAAATTACTAGGTCATTAAATTTATTTGGAAAATAATTATTTTTCAAGGTAATAGAACGCTCAAACACTTCTTTGCGGATTTTGGAAAAAGTTACAAACATTGGTCAGAAAAAAAATTTAAAACTCTGAAAAAACATAAATACAAGCCCTACAGAACAAGAAGAGTTCATCAACTTCGCAATGATGATCTTGCTCGTAGATTGAAATTCTGCGAATGGTTTACGGGAAAGTGTAGGCAAAATGCTGACTTTCCATCAAATATTGTATGGACTGATGAAGCTAGGATTCAAAGCTTTGGCATATTCAATAGATATAATACATACAAATGGTGAAAACCCTCATGTGACTATTGAACAAAATCGACAAGGCCGATTTGGTTTTAATGTTTGGGTAGGCATATTTCGGGGTAGGTTTTTGGGTCCTCATTTTTATGATGAAAATTTAAATGGACCAGATTATATCCATATATTGCAGACATATATTATACCATTTTTTGATAATCTTCCCCTAAGACAATTAGAACATATTTATTATCAGCATGATGGTGCTCCTCCGCACAAAACGAGAGATGCAACTACTCTTTTAAATGAGGAAATTGGTCAAAATTGGATTGGTTTTAATGGACCTGTAGCTTGGCCCGCTAGATCATGTGACCTTACCCCTTTAGATTTTTTTTTATGGGGAAGATTAAAAGATTTGATTTATAAGGGAAGAGATATAGCAACGAGAGAAGAACTAGAAGAAGCTACGAGAGAAGCTTTTGCAGCAAACTCTCCTGTCGAACTGATAAACAGTTGCCATTCTGTTAGAAAGAGATGTTTTATTTGCATTCAACAGGGAGGTGCCCAATTTGAACATTTATTATAGATAAAAGTAAAAATCTTATTCTCAATTTTCTTTGCTCGTTACTATTTTATTTGTTTTTTTGTAATTTTTCTCTGTTTATTTTGATTATATATTAGTAATTATTAGTTACCTAGCTTAATTTTTATTTCTTAAGCGCTTGAGGAATGATTGTCGTATGAACATTTTTTATTAATTATCAAAGCCTACTATACTAAATATGAAGAAACCTCTGGTATCACCGTCAAATTTGGGAAATAAATACTGAAAACTATGTATCATTGGAAAGCACAAAAAATTTCCGTTTTTTTGAGGTCATAGCCAACTATAGTTTCCATATAAAAAAACAGAACTTCATTTTTTTTCTCCAAAATGATAACTCATAGAAAAAAACTGAGTACACCACTGGATTGTGTTCAAAAAAGTGTCTTCATAATGTTTTTACAGAAATAAAAAAAATTGATAAATAAAAAAGTTACAGCTATTTTTTATAATAGGTGAAAATCGAAAATCGCCCTGTATCAATGGTACCATTGAAGATATCGCGATACGGTTTTTGACAATCGACGTTTCTCGGAAATCGGTCCCATGACATTTTAGTCAATTTTTCTCTATCTGGGCTGGAAGTATGTTTTTCCTGTTAAAACAGTCCAAATTGCAGCACCCTGTACAGATACAGCGAACGAAGGCGAAGGAACATTAACAAACGAATTCTTTTGGTTAGCGTGTACGTACTAACCCAATAAACATTTTTGTTTTTATAATATTTACCGTAAATGTTATATCACCTTCTGTATATAACTTAAGGTTTTATATCAATTTACCGAAATATTTCTGTTACTGCTATAAACCCTTTGAAGAGCTTAAATTGAGCGTTTATAAAGGTTTCGGAAAGCTGTGTTTAGTAACGGTATATAACTTTAATTTATATAACCATTAATCGGGAATATTGTGGTAACTATACTCCTGGACAAAATTATCGCACCACTGCTTATGGTGCTTATGTGCTGCGGTGGTGCGATAATTTTGTCCAGGAGTATAATACTAAGTATATAACTTTTGTCAATTCTATCATCATTATAAATACATATTTTTTCTCTCTCAAATACATTGCTTCAAATGGTCTCCTACTATTCTATTCCCACAATTCTATTTCAAGATGTCTGTTACTATTACTAAATAAAAACAAATATAGAGTCCAAATATTAATAATATTTGACAATTAGAAAACTACGGTACTTTGTTATAACTTTACAGCATTGGTAGATCAAAATATAGTTGGGAAACTTTTTCCACTGCAAAAGTAGAACCGGTACTTCGAAAAAACGCAGGGGCCCTTGAAATATTAGCTCCGTCAAGTTAGCCCCGCCTATTAAATTTTTCAATTTTTTTTCATACTAATTAACTGTGCTCCCAGTGTGCTCTACTGTGCTACTAGTAAGTATTAGGAACTGTGCTAAGTTGCACTCAATGCTATTCACAAAAATTTGAAGGGGGGCCAACTTGACGCTCAGCTCCCCCGTTTTTTCGATTATTATATTGACCAGAAACAAAAATCAATACAAGTTTCAGTGTGGTGAACTGTGCTGTTGATATTCTCAACTTAATTTTTCATTTAACCCTCGTTTTCTCAAAAAATGCTATGACGGGGCCAACTTGACGCTTAACCCCCCCGTTTTTTCGATTAGTTTATTGAACAAAAGCAAAAATCAATGCAACTTCCAGTGTGCTGAACTGTGCTGCTAATATTTTTGGTTCAGTTTTTCGTTTAACCCTTGTTTCTCTCAAAAAACCTTATGGCGGGACTAACTTTACTAACGGGTACTAAAAGTTTTATATAATGGTAATGGAAATAGTTACATCACCTTATTATATACCCGTAAGTTAAAGTAAACTTATAATACTTTATAAAACTATGTTACCATAGGTTGCAGATTATAAAACTTGGAAACCTTCTTATATACCTTTGTTAGTATTATATACGCATTATATAACTTGGCGTTACTATAAGTTACGAAAAATGTTTATTGGGAACGAACGCTATCGAGTGCATTCGTTCGCCTTCGCAATTTATTCGGTCTATTTATAGTGTGTCGTATTTACGGTTATACGGAAAATTGTTCGTTGAATTCTGACGGCTGGCGAAAATAAATGAACAACAACGAAAAAATTTGTTTGCGTTCCTTTGTTCAATGTGGACAAGAAAGCGAATATTTTATCGTCACCGAACAAATTCTTGTGACTTTATTCGAACGAATTCATTCGCCTTCGTTAGCTGTATCTGTACGCGCCTTTAGAATAACCTGAAAAATAGGTAAAACCCTATGATTTATTAAACACTTGCAATGAATTTATTCAATAGAATGCACATTAGAACTAAACTTATTTAAAGTTTCACAAGGCAAGAGCAAATTATGACAAATTATTTGACAATAATCTGTAACAAATAACAAATAACAGTGGAAGAAATGATAAATTTAAGCCAGTTGTAAATCTTGTGGGAATGTCAATTGGTAGAACACAGATTTTAGCAAAAGATCTTTTGATGCACCCACGCACAGTAATAATAGTAGCAACTCCTGTGTGTACCGCTTTTATACGTCCCATTCGCCACTGTAGAGGAGGCACATTGTCTTCCTTTACTACTACTAACATACCTACTTCCAACTTTCCCTTGGAAGTATGCCACTTCTGCAACACTTGAAGCTCCGAAACCCTATTGCCCACCTGGACCAGAAATGTTGCTGCAACTTTTGAAGTCTTTGATAGAGTGAGAGTAGTATAAACTTCCAAAACCTTGAAATGCATTACCACATATCAAAGAGAGTATTCACAGTGCAGCATTTGAAGCCCTAGGCAAATATGAAAAAAATGGAAGAAGGCCCTCACCTTATTGGTCGGATCATGAAATAGAGCAAGACATAGCAGATAAAAGGAAGAAATACCAACAGTAGTAGGTATCTAACTTCAAATAAGACACGAGACAAAGAAATATGTAAAGAAGCACACGCAAGAGTACGAAATAAAATATAGTACAGAAAAATAAACGAGTCATGGGAAAAAAACTGTGTGCATATTAATACTTATATGGGAGGTAAAAGAAACAGAAAGTTGGAGATTACTAAAAAATATGAGGAAAACAAAAACCAAGGATATTATCAATACCCCAGCAATGGGAAGAGTACTTTGAGAAATTACTGACATAACAGCGAGTAGAGTTTAAAGAAGAAAGGGAAGAGACACGAAACATAAAATCTGCAGGATCACCTATAAGAGTTATGCAAGAAGAAGTTAAAAAACACTGTAGCTTCTTGAAAAACGGTAGGGCACCAGGCCCAGGAGAAATATATGGAGAATTGATAAAGTATAGGGACCAATAAACTCTACACACATTTAACAAAACTATTTCAAGCATGCATAGATGAATATGAAGTACCGGAAGAGTGGAAAAAAAGCTATTTAATAACGATATATAAGAAAGTAGATAGAAGCAAATGCGAGAACCACCGAGAAATTGCAGTAACAAACACACTGAGCAGAGTGTACGGAAAACTCATAAAAGCCAGAATAGAGAACGAGTACAAAGATAGTGAGGCAGAAGAACAGGCCGGTTTTAGAGCAGGAAGCTGTAGACCATTTATTTAGTTTGACCCAGGTAATGGAAGAGAAACTAGCTTATAACCAAGAACTTCATTTACTCTTTGTAGATCTAAAAAAAGCATATGATAATGTTCCGCTGAAAAAGCTTTGGGAAGCACTGGAAAAGACCTATATCAATTTAGAACTAATAAAGGCAGCAACAACGCTCTATAGTGATTCAAAGACCAAGATTAAACAGGGAAACATGATCAGTAAAGGCTTTATAGCAACTAAAGGACTTAAACAGGGATGCTGCATATCACCAACACTTTTCAAAATATACTTAGAACAAGCGCTTAAGGGGTGGAAAAACAAATGCAGACACATGGGAATACCGCTCAATGAATACAATCTATATACTTTAAGCTTTGCAGATGATCAAGTAGTAATTGCACAGGACTATGATGATTTAGAGTACATGACACGAAAACTGATAGAGGAATACGAGAAATGGGGTTTGGAAGTAAATCTAAGTAAAACAGAGTATATGACTATAGGAGGCGAACAGCAATCTC